TGGAAACCATCATTCTACTTTCTGTTTCTATGAGTTTTATTACTTTCATGTAAGTGGAATCATGCAGTATTCATCCTTTTGTGACTTGCTTACTTTACTTGGGGCAGTGTCCTCAAAGTTCATTCATGTTGTAGCATAAAGGCAGGCTTGCCTTTTTTTTATGACTGAAGAATCTTCCACTGTATGTACATACCACATATTCTTTATCCATTCATCTGTCTATGAATAGTTATGTTATTTCTACATCTTGGCTACTGTGAGTAATGCTGCAATGAACATGTAAGTGCAAATATCTCTTCAAGATCCTGATGTTAATTCTGTCATTATATTATGCAGTATCTCCAGTGAAATCTGAGAAAGTATTCTGTAATCAAACACATTAGTAAGTTTTTATATTGGAAACTATTAATTCACACTAAGTAGGCTAAAAATGTCTATAATTGGACACATATCATTTTAGGTCAGCTATTGCTGCCAAAATGAGTTCAAGTCAGGTCAGGTTTTGCCATCAAGTAGGTTTTGGAAAAATACTTTCAGTTTTCAGGGCTCATTTGTATTTTGGAGTTGCAATAAACATTTGAGGATCTTTAGAGCCATTGGATATTTTACTTCCCCCTATGCTTTTTGAAGGTTCACTGTTGTGCTGCATGGCTCTGAAATGAGAAGATAATATTTAACAGTAGTGAGGAAACAGAAAGCCATTTTAATGCCAGATGTTTGAGGCTAAAATATCATATGGGTGCTAAAAATGCTTAGAGAAAATATTTTTGAATTTTAAAAGATTATTGTTGGAATGAGGTCTATAGTTCTTTATGTTGCTGTTGTTCTCCTACAGAAAAGAAAGGCTGTGGATTTCTCAGCCAACCTCCAGGTAGATCGGACATTTCAGTTCTTTGACCATCATCTCATGGAATCCATTAAGTCGGGTGATCCCAAAGTGCACGAATTCCTTAGGTTACTGGCTCTCTGCCACACTGTGATGCCCGAGGAAAATAGTGCGGGTAAGTGGAAAGTGTGTTTGAGTGGCGAACCTTGTTTTCTAAATCTGAACTGATATTTTTATTTAAGATCTTTGGAATTAGAAGGATGTTCTGATTAAAAATACAACATTGCATAAGGGGCTTACCTATCTCTAGCTTTTCTTTGTATATTTTTATATACTGAACGTTTTCCACTTAGCTCACATTTTGCCTGTTTGGAACTCTCTGGCGCTTTGTGGGCTTGTATGTCTATTTCCTTCACCAGGTTAGGAAAGTTTTCCATCATTATTCCTTCAAATAGGTTTTTCAATTCCTTGCTTTCTCTCTTCTCCTTCTGGTACCCCTATGATGTGAATGTTGGTACACTTAATGTTCTTCCAGAGGCCCCTGAAACTATCCTTTTTTTTCTTTTTGCTGTTCTGATTGGGTGTCTTCTGCTACCTTAACTTCTAAATCACTGATTCAATCCTCTGCTTCATCTACTCTACTGTGGATTCCCTCTAATGTATTCTTCATTTCGCTTATTATATTCTTTATTTCTGACTGGTTCTTTTTTGTTTTCTATCTCCATTTTTATGTTTTCTATCTCTTTGTTGAAGTTCTCCCTTAGATCATTGAGCATCCTTATTACCAGTGTTTTAAACTCTGCATCTGATAGATTGCTTTTCTCCATTTTGTTTAGTTCTTTTTCTGTAGCTTTGTTCTCTTCTTTTATTTGGGATATGTTTCTTTGTTTCCCCATTTTGGCTGTCTCCCTGTGTTTGTTCCCATGTATTAGATAGAGCTGCTATGTCTTCTGAACTTAATGGTGTGGCCTTATGTAGTAGGTGTCCTGTGGGGTCCCATGACATAGTCTCCCTGATCACCTGAGCAGGGTGCTCCAGGTGTGATTTCTGTAAATACTTAAGAATGGAAATTACCACATCATTGTGTAGGTATGTTTAATGTAAGTATCATTTAAAATTTTTTCATAATGTGATAAAATTAATACAATAAAACACACAGATCTTAAATGTATGGTTTGGTGAGTTTTGACAATTATATACACCTACTTAACCACCATCCCAATCAAAGTATAAACCTTTTCTATCACTCCAGAAAGATTACTCATGTTCCCTTCCAATCCACACCACCAACTCCTGCCCAACCAACCACTGCTCTGATTTTTATCATCAAAGAGTTTTGCCAGTTCTTATAATTCATATAAATGGAATTTTACAATATGTATTCTTTAGTGTCTGTTTTTTTCACTCAATGAAATATTTTTGTCATTCATCCATATTGTTGTATTAATCAATAATAGTTCATTCTTCTTTTTAATAGTTCATTCTTTTTTATTGCTAAGTAATATTCCATTGTTTGAATATAACACATTTTTTTTCATTCTAATCCTCTGTTCGTGCACATTTGGGTTGTTTCCAGCTTAAGTTATTATGAATAAAGCTGCCATAAACATTTTTATGTCTTTTAAAAATATTTAACAAATTTGTTTTTAGTAAATACTTAAGAATGGAAATTATCAGATCATAGTATAGGTATGTTTAATTTTGTAACAAACTGCCCAACAATTTCCAAAAATGATTATATCATTTTGCATTCCTACCATCAATGTGTGAGAGTTCCAGTACCTTTTCACTCTTACCAACATTTAGTATAACCACTCTTAAATTTTACCCATTTTAGTGAGTATTGATTAATATCTCCTCTGTCATATAAAGGTATTTTGAAGTGCAGAGAGATAAATGTATGTATCCTTTCAATTATTTCTGTCTCTTTCTTTGAGATATCAAATTCTAAGTGAAGGATTACATCACTAAGTAAGGGAAAATTACATTTGCTCTTCTTTTAAAGCTTTGTTTATAGGCTAGATAGCTTAAATCCATGTGTGTTAAAGTACCTTGAAAAATATAAACTTTTCTTATATAAATGTTAGTGATGCAAAAGGACAGAACCCAGATCTAACAAACTTAAAACTATAATGATTGTGTAATTTATAGTTGCCGGTGTTGCTTTTATTTTAAGTGTGTGCTATTTGTTTCATGGAGAAGTCATTTGGAGGGCCGGCCGAGTGGCTCAGTTGGTTAAGAGCTCGCTCAAGAGTTTGAGCTCTGAGCAACAGTGGTTTGATTCCTGGCCCGAGCTGAGCAGCTGCTGAGCTACCAACTGGTGGCAGGATGGCTCAGCTTAAAAAAAAAAAGAAAAGTCGTTTGGAGAAGTTGATATTCTCATTCCCTTTGCCAGGATGAAATTTTAGAAACAGAAAAGTAGAAAGTAGAAGTGCTTCAGAAGGATTCTTTTTCTTATTTTAGACAATGTTAATTAAAAAGATTAAAAATTTAGGATTTTTTTCCTTATCACCTTAATATATCAATCCTTTAAGATTTGTTGAGGCTTGCTTTATGGCCTGGTATGTATTCATTTTCTATAAATGTTTCATGTGTGTTTGAGATGAGTATGCATTCTATAGTTATTGGGTACTGGTTTCTAAATATATTCATTAGATAATATTTGTTGATTGTATTGTTCAATCTTCTATCTCTCAGTGAATTATTTTGACTATTTGATTTCTCAATTTATATATATATATATATAGTTATATATATATATATAAATTATATGTATATAATTGTGCATTAGTCTACCAATCATATATATAAATTATATGTATATAATTTATATATGTGTGTATATATATATATATATATATATATATATATATATATATATATATATATAAATTATATGTATATAATTGTGCATTAGTCTACCAATCATATATATAAATTATATGTATATAATTTATATATGTGTGTGTATATATATATATATATATATATAAAATTGTGCATTAGTCTATCTCTATTTGTAGTTTTGTCAATGTTTGCTTTATATGTTTTAAGGTCATGTTATTAGTTAGATATTAGTTTAGACTTACATGCTTTTTAAATTAAAACTTCTATTAATATATATTAATTCTCACTATCTCTAGTAATATTTTTATCTTAAAGTTTTTTGTTTTATTTTTAAAGATTTTACTGGGGAATTGGGGGGGGAGGGGAACAGTGTTGAAGAATCGGGGAAGGGGACAGACAGGTAGACCAATTGCCGTTTTTGTTCTTCAGTCTAGTTGTGGAGGATGTCGCTTCACTGGCCCATGTTGGTATGATCATTGTGCTCTTCCAGGGTGAGGCAATCGTTGCTGGTCATTGGTCGGCCGCTCACAGCGGCTTCCAGTAGCTCACACTGGCTGCTGGCCACTCATGCTGGGCAGCCATTCACATAGCTCACGGCAGCCCACTGCAGCCCCACTGCAGCCTACGCTGTCACCGGCGACTCACAGCAGCCCAGCTCCAGGTCGAGCTGTTCATCATCTTAGCTGTAGAGGGTGAGCATCGCTGGCCCTCAATATAGGATCCGAACCGCAGCCCTGCTGCTCAGAGCTGGCGCTCCCAAGTGAGCTCTTAACCAGCTGAGCTACTCGGCCAGCCCAAAAGTTTGTTTTGTTTGATATTAATGTAGTTATAGATGTTTTCCTTTTGTTAATATTTGCATTGTTTAGCTTTTCCCATTCTTTCCCACCAATCTGTCTTTTTCTTTATGTTTTAGACATATCTCTTGCAAGTGTCAATATTTTGTTTTTTTTTTCAGACTAATATTAATTTAATATGAAGCAATATCTCTGCCATTTAAAATAATAACTAGTTTGGCAAAACTAAAGGTTAAATGGAACATTTAGTCCATTTACCTTTATTGATATGTTTAGATTTTAAGTATTTAATTTATATTTGCCCCATCTTTTGTCTCTTAATCTCTTCTTTTATTGTCTTCTTATAGATTTAGCCCATTTTTACTTCTGCTGCTTTGGAAATAACATATCCTAATTTGTATTCTTTTAGTAATTAGCCTAGAATGTTTAGCAAAATTAACTTATCAAAGCCTAAGCCTTCTTTTGAACAAAGCAAGACCTTAAAATCCTTCAATACTAATTGACGTTGCCTGACTCATGTAGTACTCCTCTTATGTATTTAGGGTTGTCAGAAAAGTCATGACGTATTTTTTTCTATGTTTTTCATTGCATAAATGCGTCATGACTTTTCTGACAACCCTACTTTTCTAATACCACACGATGTTATTTTTATCACATTTATAGTCAATGTTTACTTAGATTTATCTATACACTTACTAATTTCTATGCTCTTCAATGCTTGTCCCATCTCTGATCTCCTGTTGACCTAAAGTGCATTCTTTAGAATTTCCTTTAGGGAGAGCCTACTGGGTAGTAGACACTCAAAAACTTTCTTTGAACACAACTTTATTTCACCCTTTTTCTTGAATTATGTTTTGCTGTGTTTAGTAAGGTGTCAATTTTCTCTCAGCACATTGAAGATACTCCACTATGTTCCGGCTGCTATTTCTATTACTGTATAGTTAGCTGTCAGCCTAATTGTAGCTTGAAAGTAATCAGCCTTTTCTCCCTGGCTACTTTTAAGATTTCTTCTTTTTTTCTGTTCTTAGTATAGGTGTGGAATTCAAAAATATATATATAGCTTGGGATGTGTTCTGAATCTTGAATCTATAGACTGTGATGTTTTATCACTCTGGAGTTTCCTCAGCCATGTAGTTCTTCAAGTATTGCCTTTAATTCATTTTTCCTCTCGTATCTTCATTGTTAGATATTTTCACTCTATTCTCTATGTCTTTGAACAAGTCTCTAATTTTTCCATTTCTTTGTCTCCTTGGGATATGTTTTCAAATTTTCTTAATTTTTTTTCCAGTATACTAATTCTTTCTCTAGTTTTATCTAATTTGCAGTTTTTGATTTGTAATTTCTACAAGGTCTATAATTCTTTTTCAAATCTGCTTACTTTCATGCCTCTCTCTTATATCTTATCACCTATGAAATATTTGTATGTGCTATTTCTGATAATTCCAGTATTCATAGTTGTTGCAGATCTTATTCTCTCGTTCTTTCTATTAGTTTCCATTGTGTCTTGTTTACTGTGATTTTAATGATTTTTTCACTGTGAAATGACCAGTTTACTTGGAACTTTATTTATAAAAATTCTTTGGGTGCTGTAGTGAAGGCTGATTCTTCCAGAAAGGATATGCATTTGCTTCAGTTAGTGTTCTAATACAGGAACATATTAAACTGAATTTTCGGTTTGATTTTTTTCAGTTCACCCAATATTGTGAACTTAGGATGCAAATGTACATGACAGCCAGTCTGGGCATACATTTTTAGCAAAGATTTCTTTTTTCCTCACCTATACATAGGTGGTTTTCCTTACAGGTACTCTTAAGGGAGGCACTGATTTCCAATTTATCCTCAGACTAAAAGAGTAGCCTTTTGTGGGGGGGCAGTTTTAAGACGTGGTCTTTCATCAGACTTCTTATCCTGTGCTATGTCTTCTCTTACCCAACTCCTGATTCTCCTCATTCAGAAAATGTCCTCAAGGCAAAAGCTGCCTATAATCTTTTCTTTATTCCACCTGTATTCATTTTCTCAATCTTTGACCCAAACAATTCTTGCTTTCTTGCCGGTTCATGGATGTATTCAAAATATTAAAATGTTACACAGACTGTAGTTGCTTGTATCAGGGGACGTTGGTCCTGACACCTAGTTCAACATCGTGCCAGAAGTGAAAGTTATTATATCATTTCATATTCAGATCAAGTAATTACTTTTTTCCTTTTTTGATTTTCAAAAATTAATTTATACCATTGTATCAAATGAAACCATACAATACAAATATTTATAAAGGCAAAGTTAATAATTTTTTCCTTGAACTCTTCTAATCCCACCCCCACAGGGGTGACCAGTGGTAACATTTGGTGTGCATCATTTCACTCTTTCCACTTGCTCGTGTGTGTGTGTGTGTGTGTGTGTGTGTGTTTGAATATACGAATATGCAGACATGTAGGTGACTTATTTGTTTTTAATGAAAAGGAGTCATAATATATACATTAATATGCAACGTATTTTCTTTATATAATTTATCTTGGATAACACTATAAATCAGTGAATATGGATCTAGCTTTGCCTACGCTTTATAATTTATTTTTACATTTAAAGATAATATACTAATTTTATATGGAAGGGCTTACTTTATACATGCTATTTTTTAAAGTGTATTTTTATGGTTTATTTTTCTTATTTCATCCTTTTTCTTTACTTCCCCCTCTTACTGCCTCCCCCCTGTGCCCCAAACACACACACACATACGCAATATCAGGTGCCAAGGATTAACATCCTGGTTTGAGTCCTTACATTTCAGGAGATTTCTTATATACCTTCTCATAAAAAGGCCTTTAGTGGCAGACCGAAGTGGAATTTGAAGTATCTTCCCCATCACTCTTTACTGTGTCATCTTGCAAAAATCATAACCTCTTCAGTCATAGGTTCACCAGTATAAAATGAAAATAATAATTTTAATAATCCCTATCTCAAAGATTTGCCATGAGGATTATGTGAGCTAATATATATTAAGTGTTTTAGTTTGTGAAACTTTCATGGCACATCTTTAGTCACTGAAAATATACTTTCTTGGTTCTTGTTTGACCTACTTGTTTTTTTTTTTCCTTTTAGGAGAGCTGATTTACCAAGTTCAGTCGCCTGATGAAGGGGCTCTAGTGACTGCTGCAAGAAATTTTGGGTTCATTTTTAAGTCCCGGACTCCAGAGACAATAACAATAGAAGAATTGGGAACATTGGTTACTTATCAATTGCTTGCCTTTTTGGATTTTAACAATATCAGAAAAAGGATGTCTGTTATAGGTATGGTTGGTAGCTGAGATTATTTTTGATCTTTGATAGTGCTATGGTTATGTTGATGCTTCTCAAGGATAACTTCACTCTTGGTATGTGCTGAGAGTTGTGATATTTTTGTAACTTTATGAACTGTCATCCTCAGCTTAGCCTCAACATTGTAGTAATAAGTGTAACAAACATTTAACAAGTACATATTATGTGTCCAGCACTGTTCTAAATGTTCTACATGAATTTACTGATTTAATTGTTACAGCAACCCTATTAGGTAAGTACTACATACTCATGACCATTTTAAAGATAATGAAACTGAGACACAAGAGGTTGAGTAACTTTCCCAAGGTCACATAGCTTGAAGTAGAATAGCTGGGATTCAAATCTAGGAAGTCTGACTGCAAAGCCCATGCACTTTATCACTACACAGCACTTGGCACGTGCTAGGAGTTGTCGTCAACACTGTTTTGTGACCATCATCACCAGCCTCCTCATTATCATTCATTTACTCTGTTTACCTGCATTGCCGGAGACGAACACCTAATACTGTATGTAGCACCACAACAAACGCATGCTTTTTAAACTCTGTGCTAACCCTCAGTGCTGCCTCAATACCCCTCTCATTCTTACTTTGCTCCTGTTTCCAGTCCTTATAACAGATGTTCTAATCCTTTGCCCTTTCCTCAAGTCCTCAACCCTGCCATGACCTCGTTCCTCTTGGAAGCTAAAGTCATCTCCTATTTCTCTCTCTCTCAAAAAAAAAAAAAAAAGAGGCCTTTCAGGGATGTGCATCATCAATTTACACTTTTCATCATCCTGCTTCTTCATCCCCAAGCTGTAACTTGACTCATTCTCTTTCGTGCCTCAGAGAAAAATTGCCCTTTTTCCTTTTCAAGCTAAAGGTTCTACCTGGTCCCATTGCTTTTCCCGCCTTGCTAGCTCCCTTCTCACTCGCTTGTGTCTTTGATTTCTCCTTTATCCCTGGTTTCTTCCTTCAGCCCACCACTCTATTATTATCCTGTTTCCGTCAAGGCATTGTTCATGTTCTGACCTCCACTGATTTTATGATTCTATTTTTCTTCTTCCCATCACAGCTTAATTTCTCAAGGTCCGTTTTTGCTCCTCACTTTTATTTCTCTTTTCATCCTATGAGGGTGAGGCTTCTGCTTCTACTACTTAAGAAGAATGCATCCTCAGAAGTTTCCAGTCACCTTATGACTTTCCCATGCAGTGGCTTTATTTGTCTGTCTGTCCATCCATCCATCCATCCATCCATCCATCCATCCATCCATCCATCCATCTACCTACTTACCTACCTACCTACCTATCTTTTATCATTTAGTTATATTGAGACTGTTGACCTTCTCTTAACACTCCTCTTTTGGCCCCTGTGACCTCATTGGATCCTGGTTCCCTCTTGTCCTGTCTTTTTTTCTCAAGCTCCCTTGCTGACTACTCTCCATCCCACTTTCAGTGTTGGTATCCTTTTCTTTTCTCACTTCCTGTGCTCCTCTTGGATAATCTTGCCCACTCAGATGATGGTAGCGATTGCCTATATGTGTGCCCTTCCTGTATAGTTCTTCAGCTTCAATCTGTAAAGTCCACAAAAGAGGCATATTTTCATCCTTCTCCTGGATTCTGCCACTGGATTGTACTATGGTTACCTCAAATTTTATATGTTCAATGTGAGATTTTCTTTCACAGCTACTGTTCTTTCTGTAGCCCTTATTAAAATTGTTAACAATCACTTTTTACTATATGTCTGTTTGTGAACTGAACACTTTACAATTAATTATTTTATTAAATTCTTGCAAAACTATGTTACCCTGTTTAGGATATGAGGAAAATAAAGCTCAAAGATTTTTAAATAACCTGCCAAAGATTGTCACATAGCTGATACATGACTTGTCACACAGCTGGTAAGATGCACAGCAAATATTTGAACTCAGGTTTCTTTTTCTCCAAGGTCTGGCCTCTTAACCTCTATAGTAGCTCACTAGCTCTTGACACCTCCATCTCCTTTATGCCTCTAACCTAGTGGTTCTCATACTTTAGCTCCCATCAGAACCACCAGGAGGGCTTGTTAAAACACAGGATGCTGGGCCTCAGTCCCAAAGTTTCTGGTTCAGTATGTCTGGGGCCGGGCCTAAAAATTTATATGTCCAATAGCTCTCAGGTGATACTGATGCTGGTGCTGAGAGTCAGGGAACCACAGTTTGGGACCACTTTCCTGGACTAATAGACCATCAATTACTACTCATTATGTTACCCAGAGCTGTTTGGAAGTTTTCTTAAACCTGTCTCCTTCTCTGCTACTCTCTTCACTTAGGCCTCAGCATCTCTTGCCTTATCTATGTAATCCTCAGTTGTCATCCTGTTTCTAAGTCTTCCTTCCTCAGGCATCAGAGTAATCTTGCTAAAAATAACCTCAAAACCCCTTTGATTGTAAAAACCTCTTTTCTTTTCTCTTATCCCAGTAACCACTGCTTTAGTTAAGGTTCTCATCATTGTTTGCTTGTATGATTGCAATATCTTTAAAACTCTTCCCCTTAAAGTAATCCTCTATGCTGACACCAGGGTATTCTCTCTAAAACATTGGGTAGATTTTGATACCACCTACGTAAAAATATTTGGTGGCTCTGTAGAATTTAATGCATAAAGACCCTAGCGTGACATTCAAAATAATTTGCAATCTGATCTCAATCTACGTTTCTTTTACTTCCCCAAACTTTGTGCTCCAGCCTTACTAGATTTCGCCATTCCCAGCATGCATTGTGCACTTGCACACCCTTTGCATGTGCTGTTTCCTTCTAGCTGGAATTCTCCTTTACCCCACTTTTTTTCTTAGGAAACTCTTACTCACCTGGTAATGTCCACTTCAACTGTCATCTGTTCTCTCAGTTTTTTTCCTGCTCTCAAATAACTGCATTCTCCTTTGTTTCCGAGAGCCTCTTGTTCATAATACGAGTGTGATACCAGTCTTGGGATACTCAAGACTTTCCTACTTGTTAGAGTGTGTGCTGCCTGAAGGCAGGTGCTATGTCTTAGTCTTCATAAACTGCCCAGGAACAAGCACAGAGCTTGGCACACAATAGGTTTTCTATAAGTGTTTGTTAAATAAAGTGTAATCCAATACTTTGTAACTTATGAATATCCTGATCATCATATTAAATCAAATTTTTTTATTGTTGAAAACATGTGTGTACATGTAATTGTAGGGATTTTGGTCTTTAACTACTGGAAACTAGCCCCAGGAGATTACTCTCAGCAGGTAAAAACTAAACATCATTGAAGATGTTAATTTTTATTTTTTTGACAATAAGCTATAGGCAGTCATCATCAATGTTGCTGATGAGCACATACGCTGCTCTAAGTGTTGATCTAATATTGTATCAGCAGGAGCTATCTTCTCTTTACAGCTTTAGGGGAGGTGTTATTGATGTTGGGTTGGTCCAGAATTGGCTCTGAGGGTGTTGACAAAAACCTAAGATTGCTACACAAGGAAACTTTTGGCTTTTCCCCAGCATCAGTCACCATTACAGGCTGTGGAGAGATCACAGTCTAACCACAAACATCAGATGTTTGCTTTAATAGATCCCATATGAAGAAAGGTGATGCTTCACCACAAAATGCTTGGAGGCTTGTGGGCTTTATTTTGGTTCTGTTTGGTTTTTAGTCTGGATCAATTTGAAAGAGTGACTGCATGAGGGTAGAAAAGTCTCTGTTTTGATAACAAGGCAAAAAACAATGCTAGTCTCATGAGTGTCACATGGCTTGGTCTGTGGGGACAACATCCTGATGTAAAGTCTCAGACATTTCTTTTTCCTCCTCTGCCTCCTCTTCCTCCTCCATCTCCTCCTCTTTTTTCTTCTTCTTTTCCCCCCAACCCCCACCCTCCTGCCCTTTTTGGCTATCACTCATTGAATCATAAATGGATAGTTTCAATACTGGTAGTGCTTTCATTCTGGAGCAAGACCCTGATTTAATTCAGAAGTATTTAAATAAAAATAGATTTCCATAAAGAACTATGTCAGAGGGTATAGAATCTACTATATTGATAAACATATAAATATCAATGCATAGTTTTGAAGGACCAATTGTACTAATTACATAAGTAAAAAGATAAAACTGAAAGACAGTTAATTTTTATTTATTATTGTTTTTTAAAGATTTTTATTGGGGAATTGGGGGGATGGGAACAGTGCTGGGGAGTTGGGGGAAGGGGAACAGACAAGTTGCTGTCCTTTTGTTCTTCAGTCTAGTTGTGGAGGATGTTGCTTCACTGGCCCAAGTTGGCACCATCATTGCGCTCTTCCCGGGCGAGGCAGATCAGTCGCTGGCTTCTGGACGGCCGCTCACTGCGGCTGCTGGCTGCTCACGCTGGCTGCTGGCTACACACGGTAGCCCATGGCAACCCACTGCCACAGGGGCTGTAGCCTACTCTGTCACCGGCGACTCATGGCAGCCCAGCTCCAGGTTGAGCTGTTGTTCAGCATCTTAGCTGTAGAGGGCAGTGTCACTGTCCCTCATATGTGGGATCCAAACTGGGGCCCTCTGGCGTCCCAAGCCAGTTCTTAACCATTGCACCACTCGGCCGGCCCGAAAGACAGTTATTAATAGAGGCAAGTGGCAGGTAATCATAAAAGAAGAATTAATTACAATAGCTCCTTCAAAAGCTCTTATAAGATCTTTAGATAAGGATTACTCAACTTTAAACTTTTTAGATTATCAAAGTACAAATCACACTGCCATATGGAATACTTCTCTGTGTGAATGTATGAACTGCCACCCAACTGAGATATGGCAAAGTAGAATTTTTCATCGTCTTTCACAGTGTCGCTATTATATCCACTATTACCGAATAAACCTGGAAACCATTTCTGACCTTTTTCTTTCTTTTATGTTGCAAAGGCATAGCTGCTGCTTTCAATGAATTTTGCATAATTATGATTCAGCTCAGTTAAATAAGTGCTGAATAAGCGCCTATCATGTCCAGGGACTTAAAATGAAAGGAGAATGTGGAATTGAAAAATGTTCTGTGTGGATGCATCAGGGAGAAGAGGGTGAAGCAGGGTAGGAAATAGGCAGGAAAAGGGCAAATCTTGATGATGCATCATAAGTTAGCAGGAGTTAACTTAACTCCTGCTAAGTTAAGGAGTCTGAACCCAATCTAAGATTTGAGGGAAGCTATTGCAGGATTCTAAGCAGTGGTGTGAAGATGATTCTGGTGGATTAAAGAAGAGTCTGGAAGGAAGCAGGACTGGAATGAATAAAATCATTTAGGCTGTTGCAATAATCTAGGCAAGAGAGTAGGTGGCAGAGAGAAATTCATGACTTCTATTGGATGTATGGATGGTGAAGGGGGAGGAGCTTTGAATGTTGACCTGATATCTGATTTAGGAGACTAAGGGAATGGTGAAGCTTTTTACTGAAACTGGGGACATAGGAAGAGTAGCTAGTTATTAGGGGAAGATGATGTGTAAAGGGACTAATGCTGGGTTAAGAGAAAGCATCAGAGAAGGAAAATCTTTATTGAATCAGAAAATTGTAAACTGAAAAGGACCTTAGCAGTTAGATTAAAAAAAATAAAACCCAAACTATCTTCTTTTCACATGTAGAAACTGATACAAAGAGATGGTAAGGGATGTACACAAATCACAGTCAGTTTGTGATTTCCTTAGACCAATGATTCTCAATGTGTGGCCTAGGGAACCCTAGGAAACCTTGAGAGTTTTTCAGAGGATCCACAAGGACAAAAATATTGTCGTAATAATACTATTGTCTTCATTTTTTTCTCATGAGTATACTGTGGAGTTTTACCAAAGCCACATAGCATGTGATATCACAACAGATTGGATGCAGAAGCAGATATGAAAATCCAACTGAATTCTATTAATCCAGACATTAAAGAGACCTGTAATCATTTAACTACCACTTCCCAAACTAAATTTTTTGTCCTGGAAAATACAGTTATTTTTCATAGAAATGTTATTTATGTTAATATATAATAAGGTTGTTGTTATTCTAATTATTATTATTGTGGTATTATAATTAGTGCCATAAGACTATTGGTATAATAAAATTTCTCAGGTTTAATTTCTAATTTGGTAAATGTTGATAGATATAACCCACATTAGAAAAATCTTTTATATCCTTATATAAGAATATAAAGGGATTCTGAGACCACAAAATTTGAGAACTGATGTCTTAGCCTGGACTAAAAAAAACAGTCATAGAGAAGTCATACTGGCAAATTAGGATATACATACTTTGTTTCTATAGCTCTGGTGATGGAAGGGAGAAAATATGGGGGAAATTATTACATTGGACTGTTTTAAAAGAAAAGGAAGATAAAACATTTTCTAGGATTAAATGTTTTCCTCCCACTTAAACAATTAGATAAATTGCGTATTTTTTTTCTCTCCTTTTCTACAATATGGGCAATTGGAGCCCAGTACAAGACAAATTACGTGAGTTCTGGCAACTAGGAAAGCTGACCAAGGGTCTTAGAAGAAATGATGAACCCTAGACAAGTCTCAATACAAAAAAGCTTCCAGGTTGCATTAGATGTTTTCAAGCCAGGATAAAACTAGAGTAGATTAAGTGCTGACTAAGGGCCATTAAAGGTTAGAGGGGAAAGTAATTTATTATACTATGGTGTTTATATTCTTTAAATCAAGCTCTAAAATTTGTATCCTATTAAATTCATGGTAGTCAATATTTATGCTCCTCTGTTTTGAGGCATTCCAATTTTAGAGAAAAGGTATAATTGAGTGGAAAGCATGTAATAATCTATGACTTGATTAAGCTTCTGAGGGTCAGTGCTCAGACCATTGATGTTGTGATCCTGGTATCTTAAGTTGTTGGCTGTTCCTGGAAAGAAATACACTGCCATGTCCTTCCTTCCTTCCTCCATTCATTCAAGAAATAATTAAGTGCCTACTATGTGCCAAGCTGTAAAACCAAGCCCAGAAAGGTAGTGCAGGTATTCTGTGGTACAAGGAAAGATTTGCATGACAGAAATATGTGGAACAGCCAAGGGAAGGCTTGAGGATTGGAGATGAGGGGAGCCTAGTCAAGGCTGTCATTCTCAGGTTAAAAACACAGCCCTACCAATACAGGCTTCTGGTGGGAAGAAAGTAGAAACTAGTTTTGAAAATTCCCCATGAGGCATGTTTACAACCAGAATTCTGACTCAAGAATGAACTGCCAAGAATGAAAGGGTTTTTCCAAGGAGTGAAGGGGGTTAAAAAAAAAAAAAAGTAAGATTTGAGAACTAAGGCACATACCATGGCTTTGAGCAGCTAGAATTCCATATGGAGATCACTTGGCATAACACTGATAGTTGATTCCTACAGTAGGTCTTGAATTTCACACCAGGAGACTGTAAACGAAGGTCTCAGTTCTGCTCAATACAGGCTTAATTTAAATGTATCAAGCCTTCAGAAATATTGAGCAAGTAAAATAGGAAGGTCATATGCATTAGAGTAAAAACACTTGTTTGTGAGTTTGGGAAATCAAAGGATTCCAGTAGATGAAATATTTCTAAGTTAATAAAAAAGGAATAAAGCCAAATGACTTAGGTGGTGAGTGACCTTCTAACCAAAGGCACTGAATACTTTACTACTGGCTAAAACATTATGCCCATTTCCACATTGCCTGGCTGGAGGCCTGCGACAGCCTAGTTTTCACAGATTTTATTGATTATAATCTTTCCAATTTTTTTCTTTTCAGTTAGAAACCCGGAAGGACAGATAAAGCTTTATTCCAAAGGAGCAGACACTATTTTGTTTGAAAAACTTCATCCAGCCAATGAAGACCTTCTGACTTTGACGTCTGACCATATCAGTGTAAGTGCCTTTGTCTTACGGTTAGCAAAACGGCCCTTCGGCCACTTTCTATGGTTAGGTCTTATTTTAAAAATATCAGCTAAGTGATCTGACTTCTCAAATAAAGAGCATGTGGAGAGTGGTTCCACAGGAAACTGTGCCAGTGAATGTCTGGAAACTGGCACATGGGCCCACCCCCTGCCCTGCTGAGTCTGGTTGGTCTCACCACAGGTGGATTAACACACAGCAGCTGAGAAGTAGCCACTGAGTGTAGGTTCCTGAACTCCAGCCAGGAGAAGGCTCAGGACACTTGGGAAAACGTTCTCTAACTCCCCTGCTGTTTGGGGCTGCTCCCTATCAGAGACTGGACTGGTTCAGGGAAGAGGGGCAGGAGAATTGCTTTTACCTGGATTCCATTGGTGTTCGGCACTAACAGAATCTCTTACGATCACCCAATGAATAGCTTGGGGTTATGTTTACATAGTGAAAGGAAAATAGTCTGTAGCCAATTTTCTCCTCCAACGGTCCTTTTATTCAGGTCATAAATCATGGAGACACTTAACGTTCCCTAGGTTGAATTTACCAAATGCATACATTCTGAGACTATGCATAAATTCTTTCCAAGAGCTTTCTGAAAGGAGCAGCAGTGGTCTTTGCTTTTTTTATTTTTTTCAAAAGAGTAAGAGGCTATGAATTAACATGAGCATTACCTGGTTTAAACCTGAGATTCAAGTGTCTCTCTTAATATTTTTTTGAGGTCTGTTTAACCCAATATGAACTTTAAGGGCAATGGGCCAAAACTCTCATTTCCTCGTTGGTTTCTCTCCTTTAAAAAATTATTGAGGATTCATGTTCTTTGTCAAGCCCTATATTTAATACAAAACATTCTCTGAATCTTTAAAAAACAAACAAACAAATAAAATTAAAAAAAAACACACAACTCTGCTGACTTTAAGTTTAAAGAATGATGATTTAGTAACATTGGGGACAAACATAGCTATTGTTTTTGTCTTTCCAATAGAGCATTCTTGATTTTCTTTTAATCTCTTCCAGAAGGCCAGCCTGGTCTTTTTAATTTTTTTTAAATTTATTTTTTATTTTATTTTACTTTTTTTTTTATGAGAACAACATTGGAATCATAAGTATTTGCTTTTTGCCATCGCTCAAACACCAAGGCCCTGGATACAGACATTCTCCTTTCATATGAAAATATAGAAAGCCTAATTTGATTCTTACATTTCTATGTAAAAGAAAATTTTTTCAGATACTATCAATTTGACTTTGAATCTTTGCTTCATTCACTTTATTCATGTCAGCTTTCAAATTCTGAGGTTTTAAATTTATATTTAATTATTGATTTTGAATTGTTTAAGGATAGGAAATGACCCTGCTCAAATGCTCATTTAGGAAGCAACTTGTGTTTCATGTAATAATTAAATAACTTAAATCATCTGTCTCCTTTTGTAATGTCATCTTAGACTTGATTCACTGTCGTGCAGAACAGAGAGGAAAGCACTGTGATGCCCAGCGGGTTTGCAAGTCAAAGAAGTGTTTATACTAACTAAGAGGACAAAAGATCCTTACAACACAGTGACTTGATTTTCAGATCAGTAGGGGACCCAGTGGTGGTCTTGGAAGGCAGGGCTTGTAAAATGTGATTGCAATATACAAAGTGCTACCAACTGCCTACAAGACAAATTTGGACAATTTTTCTCATGGTCTCTCTGGACTAAACCACATCATTGCAGTATGCACTGATTTTTCTTTCCATTAACCCAATTACTATGTGTTGTGGTTTGACTTGTGCCTGATCACAAACCTATGCCTGTTCCATAAGCCAAAACACACAGAGAAGATATACTCAATGACAATGCCCAAAGGAATAGAAATGGCTATAAAAATGCTTGTAGTGTAGAGGCCCATAAAATGACCACGGAGGGCCTAGGCAAAGTGGGAGGTTTTTTAGCGTTTCCCCAAAGCAATCTATATATGTTTCTAGCTATTGCTGCTGTGTGAGACTTAGCAACTACCAGTGTCCTATTTTTAAGGTTTTTTTTTTTTCATATTTGAAGGATAAAGCACCAGAGATATCACTTAAGATGGTCAGTTTACTGAGACACTAAAGGAAAAACAATTGTCCCATTAATTTGACCTATTATTAAATACTAACTCCATAGGAAACAGTTTATAAAAAATAATTTTTAAAACTAACCTGACTTGATGGTGTCTTTAAAATTTCAAACCATTTTTATTATTAAAATGAAACTTTCATATAGCAAAAAGTTTTTTAAAAATTACAGAATATCTGGAATAAAAAGTAAAAGTCAGCTTCCCCTTCCCAGAAGCAAACATTTATATTAACTTTCTGCCTTTCTTCCCTTTTCCCCCTAATGGTTATTATTATAACCTTCATGAATATGCTTAAACTTCTGCTACCTGACTAGCATCATTTGTTCATTTATTACTGACTTTTAACTCTTTATTGTGAACATTTTCAAGCATAAACAAAAGTAAGACCGAGTTAATTTTAGACACAGATATATTATTAGGAGAAATTCGACAAGACTTTGGCGAGATGTCGTACTACAATCTCTTGTGAGAGCTTCCTGCCTCTGAGAGCTATGGCTCGTCTGAGGGTCCGTTCCTTTCCACTAGAAACCGAGGGCCATGGGCCATGGAACAGACTGGGTCCCTGTCATTGCTAGGAGGGCTACCTTCAGGCAGAAGATAGGTTGGAAACCAATACATGTTGCTTCAAATGGCTATCTCAAATCATAGGCATCATTGATCACCTCTCAGCTAGGATACTTCAGCAGACATCTTGGCTATCTTTTAGGTAGATGGCTAACTAGCTCCTCTGAATGTTTTAACCCTGTAAAAATAAAATACAACATACAAACATTATCTTCCATTTCCAAGGGGATTAAAAAGTTGGAGATCAAGATGACCCAGTAGTGCTCTTGGGACAAAATGAGTGCAAAACTTCATACCCATTATTGTTGTTGTTCTTGCTGTGATTATTGTTTTGGGATGGTTCCTAAGTCAATGTCTCCTCTGGTAGGAATTTGCAGGGGAAGGACTTCGAACCTTGGCCATCGCATACAGGGATCTGGATGACAAGTACTTTAAAGAGTGGTTTAAGATGCTGGAAGATGCAAACGTTGCCACAGATGAGAAGGATGAGCGGATAGCTGGACTGTATGAAGAAATTGAAAGGGACTTGATGGTAGGAGTGTAGGAGCATGGTTGTTTGTGTTATAGAGGGGAGAGTAGTGTTTAGAGATCCAGCATAGGAATAATCCATTGGCTAAATCATCTTGCACACAGCAGATGTTACTCTTTCCGACACTGAATCATGTATTATATGCTGGCTTTGAATTTGCTATGTGTGGCCCTAGAGAGCATATGCAATTGGAAGTTTCCTAAGAGTAGAAGATAGCAGACTCCCTATTCTTTGTCATCCTCTGATATGTCCTTGATGTTATTTTTTTCCCCCTCCCTGCTTTTTTATCCACCTTTTTAGAGCAAGGAAACTTGCCGTTAAGAATGGGGCTATAGCTCTAAAGCGTCTTAGACCCATGAGATCTTGATGATATCTGTGCTGCCCAGAGTGTAATCTATTCTAGAAACCACTCTCGTCTGAGGCCCTACTGGTCAGGATGTTCAGCTGTGGTGAAGTACTAGGGAGCACACCGTGTTTATCTTTGGATGAAATATTTCAGAAGAACCTTCACTTTTTAGTTTATGGCACCTACTGATTTGTTAATGTAGCAGAACGGCGGTACATTTTTGTGACCCTGACTATGAAATGAGGATTCTTTTTTGTTGATATAAATGGGAAAGCAGCTGGGGAGTTCTTAAGTCCTTAGAAGTCCAAGTGGCTTCTGATCGTATATGCTAACTATAGGATCTCTGCCGTAATTGGTATGCCTATCCGTTAGCTTGATTTGAGAAACTTTTCTTGAATCCTTGTCAACCCACCTCTGCACATAAAAGGATGTTTGCTATATCAATGCATCATAATTTCTGCCTTCAATTCATGGTCCTTGACCTCGAAACCCCGTGACTGAAAGCCATAGATGTTATGAATGTTGTTTGCCTACATTAACATAAGGTATTCTGTATTTTTCAATGAAGCTTCTAGGTGCCACTGCTGTAGAAGATAAGTTACAAGAGGGTGTTATTGAAACGGTTACAAGTTTGTCACTAGCCAATATTAAGATCTGGGTCCTAACAGGAGACAAACAAGGTAATTTGAAAATGGATAATGATGCTTTGAAAAGAGGGCAATAATTTATGTGGTGAAATTTTAATTAACCAGAAAGTTTAATTAGTTAGGTATTTGTCCAGTCCTCCATAAAGGAAAGAGTTGAAATATAAAAAGGAAAGCTAATATAAGAATTTACTATTTAAAAACAACAACAAAAAAATTCCTAACTAACAAAATATCTTCTCTAGTATACCCTGCGGTCTATTGAGTTTCAACTCATTTGTTTCTTAAATATAATGGTTATACCCATAGGCAACAATGGAATTAAAAATGTGTAACTATTGGTTTCTATGAGCACTGCCTCCAACCAGAACAGAGACTGGCATAGCACCAAAGCAGGACATTGGAGACCTTTGGGCTACTCCTCTCATTTCTTGATGGTAGGGAGGTTTGGGGGTCTTAGAGGAGGGGTTAGGGTGCTAGGCAAGCTTTGGGGAGGCTCAGGAAAGCAACTGTTTCTCAACTGGTATGGAAATATTTTGGTATTTTAAGAACAACCACAGCTGTACTACTGCAACCTGGCTAAATTCCAAGCCTGCCCATGCAGTAGTACAATGAGAGCTGACCCACTTTCAGGCACGACAAAATGCCAAGTCATAAGAGAAAGAGTCACTATGTTCAGAATATTGTGTTCCCAAAGAAAGAAAAGGGGATCAGTAGAGTTTGGATCTATTGCTCACAGTAATGGTTAAAGCAAAAATGACTTTATGCTGGGCCATTAGTAAACCAAAAATATTTGGTTAACTGGCACACACATTTTTTTTAGATTCTATCTACCTGTTTGGTATTTCTAGAATATTGGAGGCTTTGCAGATATGACAAATCAGTTCTCTATATGTTTACCCAAATCACTGATTCTAAAAAACGAACAATAGAGGGTTGAACTATGTGGTGTGTTACTAGAGACTCCCTAGAGTTTGATGTTGATCGGTAGGTACAGCTGTTCAATTAGTTATGAATAGTGACAAGTTTATTATTATTTAGCTTTAATTTCTGTGGTTTATACAAAGGATATGCTGAGATTTTTATCAGTTGCCTTCTTTGACTTAGGAGAAATCTGACGACGCCATAGAATTAGCTATGTCTAAGAACTCAACAGAATTAATATCAAATGAATTTATTGAAGATGGAAGGGTTACCTAATTATCCTAGGTTCCATTTCTATAAAATTAGAGGAAGGAATGCCCAACATCATCTAATTTTCCAGTTACCTAGTAGCAGCAGTCTATTCACTTAATGGGAAAATGGCAATGTTGCATGTAGGAGAACTACAAATATTTTATAAGAGCATTTTTTCTGTTCAACTGAACATTTTGTGAGATGCTTTTCAATTTGCCTACCATATCAGAGTTGCGTAGTAGCTAAGTTTAATATTTTACCTCTCCAAAGGCAGTATTTGGGACTTCTGGTAGAAACTAGATGAGAAGGCTGAGGATTCATGGATGTCGCCACCTCTCCATGGATTTAGCAATTGGTGAATTTGATCATAGGGGCCAGGTCTTTGAATTTCCCTCTGGGTCTCTTGCATTTGATCACTCGTCATGTTGTCTCTGACATGAAGGAAGCCTGTAAGCTATATGGAAATACTGCAATGGCCTCAAAATGTCTATGGAAAAGGTACTTATGGATGTTCTAACTGAAGTGGGCTTTATTTTGTATCAGAAACTGCCATCAACATTGGCTATGCTTGCAACATGCTGACTGATGACATGAATGATGTGTTCATTATAGCAGGGAACACGGAAGTGGAAGTCAGAGAAGAACTCAGGTAAGTGTTAAAGGAAGGAGGAAAGGAAGAGAGGAATGAGGGAAGAGGGGACAAAAGGAAGATCAGATAGCTGAGAAAGTGGAAAGGTGCTCTATAGTTTCCTATGATCTTGTTTCCTGAAGTTCTATTCATTTTGGTGACAAATTAAGATAAGTTTGACATCAGTAGTGAATTATCGTCTTCAGGCCTCTAATATTTCTCAAGTATTTTTAGAAAAGGATTTCAAATCATTTACATTGTTAGCCTTTAAAATTATGCACCTTTTAATTCTTCCATGATAATGAGTGATCAGTGTTATTGAGGGTACTTGTTAAAATACCAGCTTCATTCTGACCTAAAAATTAAGAATAGGGTTTTGTATTTTAATAAGCCCCTAGATGAAGCTTATGGTCAGATAAACTTGGAAAACACAGATGTAAAAGATGATGTTTAAAGTTGGAATAGAGTCTTTCAGCATTAAAGTAGATATTTTCACATAGTTGCTATTAAACTTAGATGTATCAAGCTTATGAGAAACAGAATACTGTGAAATTTTTGTAGCCACTACGTAGTACCAGAAAATATATAAGTGGTGAAATTGGAGGTAAGAACGGACAAACATTAAATGTTGAGAAATAATATTTCTTAATATCTGCCAATTTATTCCTTTTTTTTGTTACTTTGACAAAAAACATTTTATGTCTGTATAATTACTTTCCCAGAACTTTACAAAATGTTTTATTATAACACTTTTTGCTTGCTGATACTTGTAGTAGTAGCTTTTCTAAGCTCAACCTATTTTCGGTCTGACCAAGCAGATTGTTGACTTAGAGGCAAACTGCTTGCTGCTTATTACAATCTAGAGCAGGGCCTGATCTTCCCGCAACACAGCAGTGGTGCACCAAGGGTTTCCTTAATGTGTTTCCATCATTAAACTTTTGTTCCTGAGTCTTGAAAAGAATGGCAGTCTTAACTGTTAGCACCACTAATTGATACTTGAAGATCAAATTTCCTGACTTCTTCTACATTGCCTTTACCCACGGTAGAAACCTGCTATCGGGTTGTCGGAAAAGTGGACATGTTTTTTTCTGTTTTTCGTTGCAAAAATGCGTCATGACTTCTCCGACAACCCAATATATCATGCTGGTTAGAAGCTGGACTGGAGGCTGCATGTGTGTTTGCCAAGTAAAAACTGGGAAATCTAATTATTACTGATATAATTTTATTATTATGTATAGAACTTTAATGATAGATTCCATAGAGCCTATGGGAGAAATATTAATACTTTGATAATTAATTAGTGAAAAAATGTTAATTTTTGTTTATTTGGGGAAATTAACTCTTGCTGAAGGAAGATAGTGAGCAGATCTGCATTCTAATGAGCCTGTTGCTAAATACTTTGAGACCACGCCTGGGACATGTTTACATGTATTATTTCATTTTATTCTCAAAGCAACCCAATGGTATACATTATCGTTATCCTTGTTTTACAGATTAGGAAGTTGAGGCACAGGTAGGGTAAATAAGGTGCCCAACGTTTCACAACTAGTCAGTGGTTCAGCCGGGATTTGAATCTGGGCAGGTAGCTCCAGAGCCTGTGCACCGAATCACTTGTCATGTGTCTTCCTAAACATACCTTACATGCATTCTTCTTCCCTTGAAATAGTTAATAGGAAAAATGTAGTTGTTGAGGCATCTTACTGCTTCACTTGAGGTCAGACACCGGATGAGCAACTAAGGCAGAATAAGGTTCAGGGAGAGACAGCAGATGTTAAGTGGAAGAGTACTGACTTCCTGTTAATAGGAGCTGAGTTAGAATCTGGGCTTCAAGCTCCTGGCTGAGTGACTTTGATGTGTTATTCAACCTCTCTTTGCTTGGTTTCTTTATTTGTTAAATGGAGAATATACAAATATCTACCCTATGGATTCTTTTAATTGGGGGTTAAGTGAGATCCTTAAATTCTTAAATTCTTAAAGCTTTACCACCATTAATGAGCTTCTTCCTTACCTTTTCCACTCTCTCTTCACTTACACCTTTCCCCTCCTTCCCTCTTTCCTTCAGCTCTTGTTGCCAATCTTTCCACCAAATGGATTACTTTTATTACTATTTCTCTAATAGACTCTATGGTGTCTGTCGTTAGGATTATATATAATACTACTGCTACCAATAATAATCAAATTATATCAGTAACAATGAATTAGATCTCCCAATTTTTATTTGGCAAAGACATATGCAATCTCCAGTCATAGCTTCTAATCAGCATGATATAGCAGTTTTCTACGCCAGATTTATGTCATGGTGGCTAAAAATAACAGAAAACAAAACAAAACAAAACATTAGGTATTCTATGCATTTTTATCATAAAGAAATTTACATTTTTTATTAACCTTCTAAGAGCTATTGAAAACGACATGCTCACCTCTACTGCACTTTTATGGACCCTCTTCGTTTATTGATGACATTGGATCATGATATTGCAGGTTGATGGACTAGCACTGACAAAGTCATTGAAACATGAAATAAATCATGTTATAGCCCAGGAGCAATATTCCAAGTTGTAGCTAGAGTACATCATAGACCTAAAGGTGGAAATAATTTTTCAGAGGTGGATTGGTGATAGACTGACTTGCTAACAAAAGTGATTATACTTTATCCTGAAGGTATTGGGTGGGTGTGGATGGCTTGGAAGCAGAAGAGTGACAAACCCAATCTTGCACTTTAGAAATAACACTCTAGTGACAGGATAGACTGAGTATGTTTGATGGGAAAATGAATGGTATGGGGAATTCTTCAGGAGGCTGTTAAAATACTCAAGCTTAGAGATGATGAAGATTGATCTAAGGCAGTGAGGTTATAACAATGGGGAAGGAAAGAGTGGTGTGAAATTGACAGCTATATTGGAGGTAGAATGAATAGGACTTGGAATTTGATTTGATGTAAAGAGAAGTAAAAGGAGGCTTTGTCATTCTAGCTTGTCTGACTTCACGACCCAGAATACTTTCAGGTGTGCAAGAACAGAAACTCGTTAAATTTTCTAAAACTGAATTTGAACCCCTTTTCTGTCTGATGACAGAACAACTCAACTAGACACTTTGGAGTAAATTTAGTGCACGTCTAGGATGCACAATTGCCTTACCTGCCACTGAGTCTCAGCATCTGCCCTGCTGGCATCTAGTGCTTCCCACTTCCGTGTCCCTGTCTGGTCTCTGGTCTCTGGTTTTTGGGTTGCTGGCTGTCCCTCTAGGATGATGTTCACACCCTCCTGGGGAAACATGAAGTTTGACTGCTCTTCCTTACCTTTCTGTGTCCTCAAACACTTGTGCTCTCCTATGGCTACCTGTGTTCCTGAAATCCCTTTACTCTACCACCATCTGCACTTCAGTGGCAATTATTCCATACTCAGATTCCCAAAAATTTACCTGAGGATTTCATTACCCACATGGTTCCCATCTACTACCCATCTAGGGTGAGGGTCAACACCCAGGCTCCTTTTAGTAGCTCACCAGCATCTAAGCTCCTCTTCAGTGTTCCTCTCCTCTAAGCTGAATGGGAGATGGAGAAAAGACGTCATTTCTTTCTAGTCTGTTGCGTGTGGCAACCTTTTATGCCCAAATCCTTTTAAGGATTAGTCTTTTGAAACTTGAAGAAACTTTTTTCTTCCCTCTGAAAAATCCCAATTAGTGAAATTCCAGATTGCTGAAATTCAGAATGATGCTACAGCTATGAGTTTCAAGAGTCTGTTTTGGTACTCAAAAAGCAAGATCTTGACTCTTGTATTTGGCTCTGTCAGAGCCCCCTGAGGCAAGGTCTGTTTCTGAGTTAACGGAGAGGGTCACCTGTGGTAGCTGCACTGATTGCAGAAGGGGTGGAGACCCAAAGTTATCTCAAGATTTTATCCAGCTACAATTGGTTGACTAAGTAGATGACATAGCTGTTGTTATGTGGGAGCAATGTAGAGAAATGTAAATTCGCATACACTGTTGTTGGGAGTATAAATTGGTAGAGACTTTCTAAAGGGCAGTCTTGCAAGATATTTCACAATTATATATACGTACGCTTTTGCCAATGATTCTTACTCCTAGGAATTACCCTTAAGAAAATAAATGGACAGATGTATGAACATGTATGTAAAGAAATGTGCATTGCTATATCAATTATGATAATAGAAAATTAAAATTGCTCAAATACCCAGCCATAAAAATTTTGTTAATTACTATGATATACTCATATATATGGAATGGAATACTATGTAGTCATTAAAGGTTATTACATGTTTATTGACATTGGAAGATATCCATGGTATATTTAAGTGAAAAATGAGATTATGAAACATCATGCATACTATAAATCCTTTTTTTAAAAAAACTATGTATATGTATGTATGTAAAACACTATACATCTGTATGTGTATCTACCTACCCACCCATCACGCTCTGGAGGACATATACAGTTCTCTCTGGGTGATAGAATTATGGATAATGTTTGTTTTCTTCTTTATTGCTCTTTGTATTATCTGAAGTTGTAATAGTGTTCATGCACTACTTTTACAATTAAGAAAAAGGCCAAAAAATTATCTCCAGTTTTTCAATGAGAAGAAAAAATATTCAGAAGGAAAAAATAATTTCTGTTAAACAAATTATTCCAGTACCCTTGTGGCCACCTTGGTTAACTTAACTGACTGGCAAATAATGCTTATTTCAACTCAGACTTAGAGATCACCCCCTCCTTGGAGTCTAAGACAGAGAGGCAATGCATGGTAGAAAATATAAGAGAAATCAATACATTTTTGGTATACATTTGCTTAATATTAGGATTGGGGAGAAAAGAGCATTCAAGAGAATTTATTGCGGGAGATGCTGTCATAACTCTAATCTTGGTTACTTATATCAAAGCTCCTAGTTTTGGGGCTGAACTATTGAAATAATAAACTTACACTCTTCAGTTTTCTTGTGTTATGCTTTTGAGTTCATTGGGAGTTCATACAAAAACAAACAAAATATATCAAAAGAACAGAATCTAGTAGCTATTGGGAGGAAATGACCTAAATGCTTATTTTTAAACCTGTCGAATGTGTTTAGATTATTTCATAAACATGGATATGTAATTTTCATGCATATTATGCATATGACTTGTGTGAAATTTGGTGTCATGAAACCATTTTAGACACTTAGAGTCTTGGGTTAATTTTGCTGCCATAGCTGCTCTAGTATTGAGGACATGCCCAGAAGTCTACAATTAAACTCTTCTATGGTTTCTCAGAAGATTACTACATTTATTACATTTCATCAATACATATGTCATCTGCCCCAAAGAAAACAGACTGAGAATGTAATTTTGCTTGGGCTGACAGGCAAACTCATTCCATGTTTCATTTCTGTTGCATTGATTACATGCTTTATTGTTAGAAAAATTCATGTCTTATAAATAATTAAACCACGAAGTGACTCCACTCTACTACTTTTGAGGAGTATCCCAGTGATATACCTAGGAATTGTTATTTCCTCCTTAATCAACAAAATACGCATTGTATTTTTTTTGAACATCTACTTGGTGGAAAGTTATTTGTTTGAATGAGCAGGGTTCACAAATGCAAATGGTTCCAGGGCCAGAAAGGTAACATTAGTTGTGTGACCTGGGCTGTCTATAAGACATTAGGCAATGGGGGGGCCTTTGGTGAAGGTTAAAATCATGTTGTCCATAAGGGCAGACAGATTTTTTTAAACACTTTGCAGGCCCAACAAAAATGCATCATGTTCCTAATTCCCGACTTCTAGTCCCCCAGGCAGAATGTTTTAGTAAGTTAAGTTTCTATCATAAATGGCAAAGCTGTAGAGCATTCAGTAATCTTGGAGATTTTGTACACACAGTACAGCTGCCCAAGTTTTCATAACTGGTATCAACCAGTCTGACTGGCTGGTACCATTCCCTCAGTTTCTAATAAAGAACACAGTTTCTAAACTAGCTCAGAGGTTTAACGTCTTACAGGTCACACAGGTAGTAAGAGATGGAACTAGGGCTTGAAATACAGATTTCATCTACTCTCTCCCCTTTGGTACTGTTGGCAGAGTACTGTAGCCCCTTAACTGCTCTTCTGGCACTCTATTTTTGTCTCAACATGGAGGCAACCTGTGGCTGAATCTATGGGTAAACTTGTTTGGTATGGTAGAGCAAGAGCTAAGAGTTAGAAGCCCTGGGTTCTAGCCTGGGTCTGTAACTGACTAATCAAGTGGATAGAGGTCAGATAACTCAACTATGGGCACGTGAGAGGCCAGAGACAGACCTCAGGCCTACACCCAGGCCTCTGGGTTCCCGCCCCAACACTGTTATATCAAAGTCAAGATTATCTTCTTTGAAACATGATGTCATGACTTTAATTTATGTCCTAGCACTTTTAATGCCTTACGGGGACTGACTGACAAAAGGACTAATTTCCCTGCCATCTCTTCTTTAAGGACTGCATGTAAGCCAACATGGCCCTAACTGTGCTTTGCTGTGTGTGTGTGTGTGGGGGGGAGGGCGGCGGGGGGTGCGGGCATGGGGCTGTGAATACCATGGTTGCTTCAACCGTTAATGCATTTCTGCATGCCAGCATTGTAATGGGCTGACCTTTATTACAAAGCTTGGAAAAAACAGGCATGCTTTTGTTTTAGCATGTGTTATTTGTATTCTGTGGTTAAGCATTGTGTGTTGTGCCTACAAAAATGTATAGTTCATATTCATTGAAGGGAGTTATGTGTAGCTTTTGCCCTCCTAATAAATTGTTTTTGTGAGAACCAGCTGGTATTTGAAGAGCTGAGTTCCAGGAAGAAAAACGAAGTGACAGTTAGTGAGCATGGGCAAAGGTCTGAAAACGCATGAGCCCAATCTGGAGGGTTGGCCGGTGCAGAGGAAGTGCACTGGGAATTTAAGCAGAGCTAGAAAAACTGTGCCTTGTCTGCCTGGAAAGGGTTCATGTGAGATGTTAGGAAGACAGTTTAGGGGGGAAAAAAATCCTAAGTAAATAAAATTTCAGCCAATACTTTCATGAACTTCACCCTTCTTTGGAATGTTTTCATTCTCTGGGGGGAGAAAACAGAGATTGTGTCATTTGTACAGCGAGTGTGAACTTTACGAAAAAGGAAACCTCCGGAGATTTTTGCCCTTTGGTGCTTTCTTAGGACCCAATTTATGAGCTCTGCAACACTGTCAGAGGAATGCTCATTTTCGAGGAACTTGTTCCTTTTGTTTTCTTCATTATATGAGACTGTAAATTTTCATGACTGTGAGGAGGATTCCCCAACATGGTTCTCTGATGCAAAAGCCTGGTCCTCCCACTTCAAACAATGATTTTACATGTCTGCTCTCCCTCTCCTTCCCCATCCTAACTCTTAAATTTCACACGTAGCAGTCTGACTTTATAAATATTTGTCTCTGATTCTGGAAACGGATTGCTAAATGCCTAATATCATCCTAGGAGCCAGGGGTATGGAACCTCTGGGGTTGCTTGGGTTCCTAAAGACAGGCTATGATTTTGGTCCTGGATAGCAGAAGATGCTGAGACAGAAGATAAGGGTTTTTTTGTTTGTTTGTTTTTAAAACTTAGCATGTAAACAATTAGTGTTACATTTTCAAAGAGTTAGAAAGTTGAAGATTAACATGGTTGTTTTAGTAGAGTGAACGTTTTCATCTTTCAGAGGAGCAATAGCGTAAAGCCATGTTATTAAACATTTTCTATGCAGAATGAGCCTTTGGGGAATCGTTTCATTTTTCTCTAAGCCAAACATCCATTTTCTGGCCTCTCGCTCCCCATTTTCTCATGCGCACTCATTTTGTATATGTGAGTCGTAGCCTAATGTGTTGGTGGCAGGCTTTGACACTCATCTTCAGGGAGTGTCTGCTGTGTAGCTCCCTGGTTGTGGCTGACAGTTCTGTAGTCATGTCAACTTGCCCTATGTGACTTCAAAGCCTGTCATCCAAGGGTCTTTGTGGAGGAAATATCTCTTCCTTTAAAAGCATCATCTTTCCATTTTGAAGAGCAAAGTAAAATGTAACGTCTAAAGATATTGATTCACGACCACACAATCTTCCTCTTCCTCAGAGATGGATGAGATGTGGGCAGGATTATTGTGCTGATTAGATCTAGGACAGTGAAAGGAGTTTCCCTTTGGAAAGACCCTCTACACTTGGGTGTCTGTAGTTTCTTTCTCACAAGACTTTTTTTATTGTTGAGCTGATGAGTACCATTTTCACTTAAAATATTCCATTATATTTTAATGACTATGCCAATTCAGTAAATGCCATCATTTGTTTTTCATTGTTAAATTTATAAAAGATGTCGTTCTTAGAAGCCTGCTGTTTTAAGATGAATGCTATTACATTGTTCTACAGATTGATTGCTTTATTTACTATATAGATGCCCTGGAAAGCCTAGAAGATTTCATCAATTGTCTGTAGTCTTTCATTATTTAATGACATCATGTGCCAGATCAGTGGTTCTTAAGCCCTTGAAGCTCAGCTTTATATACCAAATTTATCAAGAGCCCCTAGTTCAAGCCCACATTAAGATGGTGATTTCGCTTTTAAGTAATTTAAAATGTTCAAGATGATTATGTTTTTATTATGTTTACCCTCCTACCTCTTGGAATTTGGAAATTTGCTATAGTATCCCTATCACAAAGAATTATGTAGCTTGCTTACCAAAACTGAATCTTATGCCACAGTCTGCCTGAATAGTGATGAAATGAATTTACCTCTAGGCTAGTCTCTTGTTAAAGTTAAAAGGTATGCTCTGTATACTTTGTTATGATCTGCTTCCCTCCCTTTCTTTTAAGGAAAGCAAAGGAAAGTTTGTTTGGACAACAAAACAGAAGCTTTTCCAACGGCCATGTAGTTTTTGAAAAACAGCGGCAGCTAGAGCTGGGCTCAGTTGCAGAAGAAACTGTAACAGGAGATTATGCCTTAATCATAAATGGCCACAGTTTGGTGAGTTCACTTAAGGCCTTGTTCTGTCTTTTTCTTCACCCTAATAATTGTCTCGTTTGTACTGTCATAATGAGATCTCCTTTTGTGTTTTCCAAACAAATGACACTACTGGAAACAAGGCATATGCAATGATTTCCTGTTTGCAAAGGGAAAGGAAACTTCTAATATATATTTCATACATTATTGCTTGAACCACCACACGGAAGGAGGAGGATCCAAAGAAATACTGAATTCACAGAATATCAATCTTGTCTAAATGACTGTAGACCATTTAACAGTATCGTTTAAGTGCTTTTCTAAGGGAGAGTGTCACAGTTCACTGTTATTGAATTAAAATAATGCAACTGGATGAATGTATTACAATTACTGCTCTTGTTAATGTTTGTGATTTGCAGAGTACAATCCGACCTTCATATAATTACCACACCAAATTATTGCCATTAAGATACCTCTGGTGGTTTTTCTAAATAGCAGCATTTTACAGCAATGCCAAACAATTTGCTTTGATTAGGAAATCTGGTTCTTGTAATAGAATAAACTTGCATTGTACTTTTAATGTAGTTCAGGTTCCAAGTCTTGAACAAATATCAAAACGCTCTTTTGAGTTTCTAATTTAGAAAACAAAAGCTCTGATTGCACTCCAGTACAATGATAATTTATATGCAAAAAGAGCTAATCTCACATCTTTCTTTGGTTTTGATGACCATTTTTCACTTTTGGAGTTCGAAAAATAAATGTTATCTTCTTTTAGACAGTTTCTTAGAGGACAAAAGAAGCTGGATATGCGTATATTGTACTTTCCCCCTTGTGATCAGCTGTCTGTTAGCTCTTAGTGCTTAGAGCATTATCCAGCTGGATTCCAGACATAATGATGTGTTGCCTTCTACACCATGGAAAGTTACAGAGCTCAGCTGCAGGCCAAGCTCAGATGAAAGTTTGTCCAGATGACACGAACTTCTCCCTTGCACAAATGAATAGCAACTAAAAATTATGAACCTGTCAACTGGGACTTGGAACTGGTGGCCTCCAAGCTGAATTGCCCAGGGACCACAATATGGAAAGGGTCCCCAATGAGCTGTATTTTGATTTTCCCTCAGGCTCAAAGAAGCCAATATGTGGTGGGTTAGAGTACTCAGGTGATAACACTATTCTCCTTCTGTCTCAAATCTGCTGAAAGAAAGAGCTAAAATAGATGCTTTTAACACATTGAGGACGGGACATTTAAATGTATAGATGCAAATCTGCATCACCGGGGTCCACATTAAGAACCCCCCAGCTTCAATGCCTAAAGCTTGTGAAACCATGAAATGTCATTTTCTGTTTAAGGAGAACTGACCATGTTTCTGACAGTATTGTCAAAAGCTTAAAAAAAATTATGATTCCAGTTTGCTCAAATCTTGATGCTTTGCAGAACATAATTGGGTCTTTTTTTCTCAGAGTACAAGTCTAGGTTTTCATTTGTTGATAACAAAGAAAAAAGAAAAGAGAGAAAAGGGGACAGCTAGTTACATACTTTCTCTTTGAGAAAGGGCATTGTTATTTGAGAGTGCTAACTCCCTATTTCCCCCTAGGAATTAAAGGCCTTGACATGAGAATTTTCTACCAGAGTTGTGATTTTATACTCATTCATCCATCCTGCTAGTCAGACCATTAACTTTCACTAAGCATGCCTAGGTGATAGTACTAGAGCCTGAGGATAAGGATGTGAATAGAACATGGTCCTTGTTTCAGGGATTGCCATCTGATGGAAGAACTAATCTCACGGTGGAATAACAAATACTATAAAGAGGAACGAACCCAGTTCTTGAGAGCATAGACACATTTAGTTCCTTGTGGGAAAGTCAGGTAAGACTTCCTGGATGAGGTGATATTTTCAGGTAGAGGAGACAGCAGTTTAAAGGCGCAGAAGCAAAAAGAAGGTTTCAAATTATGGAAATCAGCAATTTGGCATGATGGGAGTCAAGAGTAAAATTAAAGGTGGTGGTAGAAGACAGAAATCAAAAGAAATATAGGGACAATTGTGATGAGCCGTGAATATCTTGCTAAAGATTCATTCAAAGATACTGATGACTCCAAGTTTAGGTGGATTCCAGTTTCCTCTTATTGTGTTTATTAAGCAATGTACAATGAGTTGTTTTCTAAAACAGTTTCACAGTTAATTGCAAAAGATTACGCTCTCCTTTTTAATTATTTTTTGGTGTATGTATAGGCTATTATGTATTTGGAGAGGAGCACGGGTGGAAATGGTTGGGGACCCCTGTGGGAGCCACCACCTGTTTTCTTGCATGCTACTTTTTTGCACAGCCCTCTTGATTTCAATTACTGCCTTTCAAGGGCTAATTTCCAGATTATTTGCTTTTCATTCCCCTGGGCATTAACTATCACAACAAACACTAAATATACAAAACAACAATGCAAAGGAAGCAAAAATTCCATCATGTAGAATAAACACATCACCATCATTTTGTAGTTAATTCTGAACTTGGTGAGGTAATAGACAGGTTCTGCCGTTTGTTTTTCCTTATTTCTGGACACTCTGGAACTTCTCTGGCATTTAACTGTATCTCTCCAATGTAGCATGCTAATGCGTCAAGGAGGACACACGAAGGGACTGTGTCTTTTATTTTTGCTCTAAAACTTGGTACTTCAGGAGTTCAATACTTATTTCTCCATTGGGTAGTTGTTGCTTGTGTGACCCTGAATCAACAGTGACTGTTGAAGTGAATTAAACTGTTTAAAAAAGAAATCAGTTGAGAAATAAGAAATCTGCTTCCCAAATGATGTCTCTTATTTATTGTTTCTTGTTCTAGTCTGGAATTTTTTTTTTTTAATAACATAGGCTCTTGCCCTCGAAAGTGATGTCAAGAATGAGCTTCTCGAACTTGCCTGCATGTGTAAGACTGTGGTGTGCTGCCGAGTTACGCCTCTCCAGAAAGCCCAAGTAGTAGAGCTGGTGAAGAAACACAGAAATGCTGTCACTTTGGCCATAGGTGATGGAGCCAATGATGTCAGCATGATCAAAAGTAAGAGAACATTCGTTCAATGGGGAATGCTGCGTACCTGGCGCTCTCAGGCTCAGCATTTGGCAGTGTGTAATGGAGACTGCATGACAGCTTCGTTTTCCCAGTGGTTCCGAATGAACACTCTGGGTCTAATGGGTCCACCATTAATAACATTCATAAAACAAACAAACAGACAAACAAACAAACAAATAACAAAAAAAACCTCTTTGTCTCTAATTCAATCACTTATACATTTTCAGGCCAGAAAAGGACATTGGTGTAGAGGAAGGAACACTGGTTCCTATAATCCCAACACCTGGGTTTAGTCCCAATTTCACCAATTACAGATTATAAAACCTTGTGCAAATTACTGAAATTTCCTGAGCCAATGTCCTGTTTTGTAAAACTAGGATAAATATCTATTGTGAGTGTTTCATGTGATAATATATGTGAAAGTTATTAACGCTATAGCTGTAAGTTTTCTGTAAATGAATAATAATATGCCAAAAAGCGCCAGCCAGCTCTTCTCCCCAGGCATACAAAAATGGTATAAAAACTAAGCCTTTTGCTTTAGCTAGTGGGCATCCCAGTTGGGTACCCCTCTCGCTTTGAGAGCTGTTACTTTTCTGCTTTAATTAACTGTCTTTTTCTGTAAACCTTGGGAAAAAAAAAAAGGAATGACAAGGTCCTCAAAGAGGTTGTATCTTTGTTTGGGGAGTGAAAGTGTTCCTCTTTTTCTTTGCAGGTGCTCACATTGGTGTTGGCATCAGCGGCCAGGAAGGACTGCAGGCAGTTTTAGCCAGCGACTATTCATTTGCACAGTTTAGCTATCTCCAAAGGCTTCTCCTTGTCCATGGAAGGTGGTCCTATTTCCGAATGTGCAAATTCTTGTGCTACTTCTTCTATAAGAATTTTGCGTTCACACTTGTGCATTTCTGGTTTGGTTTCTTCTGTGGTTTCTCAGCCCAGGTTGGTAAAATAGCACTTTTCTTTCTTTTATTAATATCCCCTGGATTGTAAATGACTGTTCTTGATGGCTCTTTACTAATAAATAGCATTTTTATATGCCCAATACAAATGACAGTATGACAATTATGTAATTGATAGTTGACTTGAGCTTTGAACCCAAGAACAATGTATAGTTAGCTGGAATTTTATTTATTCTTCTCTTATTTACCTAATTACCAATGAGCACTCTTTCCTGTGCATTTTTAAGTTTTTATTGAATTGTTTTTGTATGATGACAGGTAAGCCTGATGTAGAGTTTTAACTCAGAAGTCTGAGAAACATTAACAAGAAATGTTGAGGTATCTCATTGGGAAGATGGTCATTCACCCAACACATTGAATGTAAATATCTTAAATCAGGGAGAAGTAATTGATACCCTGACATCAAGGATGTTTTGACAGTAGCTAAACATTGATCTATAGATTATGTATTTGTAAGAAAGAAAAATTAGTAAATTTATAAATTAGGATTCTATTTTTATATCCACTCATTCATATTAAAGGATATTACTTAACCCCATATCCTGGATATCAGGAATATTTGACCCTGACTGTCAACTGTGAAATATAAGACCTATAGCATTTAAATGTACTTATGAATAAAAAAGACATTAGTGTTTTAAACAAGAAGAGAAAAAAAATTGTCCTTAAAAATGAAATGGGAGCCATAATTCATTAGAGATTTCTTCAATTGTTCTTCCTCTTGGGTTTAATCACTGGCTTCAATGACATGCATGTAGCTAACTTTTTTCAATCACTTTATTCCAGAAAAAATGAGTATGAATAAAATCCTGGCATTTTATATTATCTTAAATATGTCAAGAGAAATTAGAAAATCCTTTTTGTAATGAAAAGAGGTTTTGTACATCTTTCTCTTTTTCTGAGAAGTTGAGATTTCTTAAAGTGAGGCACACCTATACCCACTCCTAATTTTCTCTTTTAAGGATAAGATCCCCAGAACTAAAATATAACTCTGTTGATATTTTTTATAATCTCTAGACAGTTGAAGTAAAGCAAAGTCTTGATTTTAGCTTCTCAGAAATAAAACCTTTCTTAGGTCTACTTCGAGAAGGCTTTGTGATGGGGATATTTATCTGCTCACACTTCCACCTTTGTCCAACAGAGACAAGTGTAGGAGCATGGCCTATGCCTTCCTAGGCTGGTGACTTTCCCTCCTTGTAAGAACGAAGCAAAGCTATGTGCTAAGCACTGTCTCTGAGAGATCCAGTTTTCATATTGTAAAGATTTTGGGCTTTTGACAAATCACAAAACTATGAAGGGATGCTTTAACCCTCACTTAGAACTCTTTGGGCACAGAAGAGTTGTTAATGATTTGTACGATACACGCACACACCAAGATTGGATAGGCAGGTTTACTGCCAAAGCTGTCTTTGTTAAAACTGTGAAGTTGAAACTAGCGTTCAATGACTTCTAACCTCTACATTTAGGTCATTTTCTGCTCTGCTTTCAGGATCTGATAAAATTGGCCAGTCAGATGTTAAGCAACTTTTTCTCTCCAATGTTCATATTTAAAAAGAGAACAGCAAGGGAGAACAATGATTGCTCCAAAGACACGCATAGCTGTTGTTTAAGTCCAGCTGTAAGACACATCACCTGTCTATAATTGTTTCTTTCTTTCTTTTTTTTTTTAAGATTTTTTTATTGGGGAATTGGGGGAAGGGGAACAGACAAGTTGCTGTCATTTTGTTCTTCAGTCTAGTTGTGGAGGACGTTGCTTCACTGGCCCAAGTTGGCACCATCATTGCGCTCTTCCCGGGTGAGGCACATCAGTTGCTGGCTTCTGGAGGGCCGCTCACTGCGGCTGCTGGCTGCACACGGTAGCCCACGGCAACCCACCTGCCATCGCTAGTGACTCACGGCAGCCCAGCTCCAGGTTGAGCCGTTGTTCAGCATCTTAGCTGTAGAGGGCAGTGTCACTGGCCCTCATATGTGGGATCTGAACCAGGGCCCTCTGGCGTCCCAAGACAGTTCTTAACCATCGCGCCACTCGGCCGGCCCTATAATTAAGTTTCTTAAGTGTTTGATTTAATTACAGATGGGCGGAGCCCCTGGCTGGGATCTCCCTGCTCCAGGGCTACTGCAAGTAAGAGTGAGAGCCCCCGAGATCTGAGTGCTGGTTGCCGTAAGCCCTGCCCCCTTCTCTGTCTCTATCTGATGCTTGATGGTTAAGCCCCTGCAGATTCCCCCAGTGATCCCAGTGAGGCAAGAGGGGAATGGGCCTCCCGGGAAGTGTCCTGCAATGCTGAGGGAGCTGAATGTCCACCTTGGGCTCTCTTTTTCCCAGTGGAGAAACCATAGGCCCAGAGGGACCCTCTTGGTGCAGTGCTGTGCTGCCTGGGGGAGGGGTGATGGGGTCAGAGTGTAGCAGCTCCTCCTCTTGTGTGCTCCGCCTCTGTCTCTGTGGTCCAGGGGGGTGCTTCAGCCTCATTCCCCAGTTCTGGACTTTCTCAATGGTGTCTTGTCTGTGGATAGTTGCCAGTTGGTCTTCTCGTGAGGGGAACTAACATTGGGAATGACCTACGTTGCCATCTTGTTGGCATTGCTCCTGAAATCACCTTGTTCCAGAGAGTATTTGGCTTCTGCCAGTTCTCTGGGAAGACTGCCTACCTGCGATCTTTTTTATCTGTTCCAGGGTTTTTTGAATTGCTACTCTGGTGAATACCATTTGTGGTTCAGCTTTTCAGGAGATAATTTTTTGTCTCTCCCTTTAACTAGTACCAAGGTTAACAGTCACGTTTTCTTGCATTCCCTTCTGCACATAGATTTTTTCCTTTACTCTCACACTAATAACTCAGCCCTTTGCTGCCTTAGCTTTATTAGATTCCTCATTTGGCCTAATCTTGGCATCAATAATGGTGTCTCTTACAATAAATAGTGTCTTAGAGTCAATGAAATTTGATATTATTACCCAAACTCATTTAGCACGAACCCTGTTTCCCCCCTGCCCCCACCTCCCCAGAACATGCATAACGTCCTATAGAATAGGTGCCACATAGAGCCCAATTTGGGAAATTCTAAAATAGATGTCTCTAGGACGACAGTTTCAAAACCTGACAATGCCCTGTTATTTATCCTAGTTCCAATGTTTTGGAGGCAAAAGATGTATGAAGGACAAAATGATGCTAACAATACTATCTCCATAGGAACAAGCTACTTATTTTTCTCCCATTCAAAAACTTCCATTTTCTTAATTAACTCTAGTCCAGGGGACAAAAGAACCCTGTTTGATATGCTAAAGTATGGAGGGTTTACAGCTAAACCCCTGCAGTCTTTCCTACCATCCTCAAAATTTTTTTCTGATTATAAAAATAATTATATGTGAATAAATATCAACTTTTATATATTTGAGACCATACCATTTATGTCTTTCTTATTTTAAAATAAGTCACATTTTGAGAAACCCCTTGTTTTACATTCTTTACTTTTTTTTTCTTAATGGCCTCATGAAATATGGATTTGTTATAAATTATTTAACTATTCTGATTTTATGAATGTTTAAATTGCTGTCATTTTAAAATGAATATGTATTCCTTGCCCTTGGCTGTGAGTCATACGACATTGTCAAATTGCTAGTAGGAATACTTTTTTATCATCTTGGGAAAAAAACCCAAAATGATGAATAGGACAAGTCCCTTCTCACCTGGAACTCATTTTCTCTTTGGGAAAATAAAGAATTGCCTATAATAACTCCATTGGAAGAATTATAATTGAAGTTAATACGAGAGCATGGGAAAAGGAGAAATGTGTGAGGATCTGGGACAACTTCAGGGGCTCAGTTAATCTCCAATGAATATATGAACGTTTTCAAAATTAAGTGAAGGTCGGAGGCCTGAAAGTCTAGCTACCTGCAGGGATTCAGGGGCTGGCTTGTATAAAGCCAGGAGACTAGAGAGAAAGGAGAGGAACCCTCCCCCTTGGACCTGAACATGTTCCCACTGACCAGAAGTTAGCTGAATTTGAAATCTCTTTAATTTCTAAAATTCCATTGAAAATCGTCTCCTTTACGAACACCTTTTTAAAACTGCATGGCATTGAAGGGGGGGGATCATACTTAACAGTATTTTGTATAGCAAAATACTAGAACAGGCGCTATTCCACTATGAAGATGGGAACCTAAGAGGCCTGGTGTGTTAGTGATACTGAGAACTGGCTGTGGGGGCAACTTGGATTTGGGATCATTGTCTCTTTTCCTGTTGTTTCACTGGAAGGTCCTGACTAGCAACAGGTTTAACTGAAAAAGCCCTGGTTTTCTAAGGACGATATGCTGTAAATGAGGCAAGTGAAAAGAAAACAACATATTTGGGAGAGATGCTCGTCTTCAGAGAATGAGGTTTTTTGAATAGGGGGCATTTTTGGAATCACACTTTTCCCCCCACTGAGATCACTTGGCTGGCTTTGGCCTCTAGAGCCATGTGTTGGGTGACTAGTCTTTCTTAGCCTCTAAGGCCCATTAGGTGGCGGCTTACTTCCAGTCTGTTAATGAAAGTCGGCCGTCTGAGGTCTCTCTACCCCCTGCCATCACTCTCCTAAATTGCTTCAATGGAACTGAAAGCTCCATGGTGAAATGGAGCCAGTAGTAATAAAAACTCGGAAGATTTCGGTGACAGCAGGCATGTGTTTAGAGGCCCTTGACTTCCTTGGTAGGCCTGATCATCCGTCACTTATCTGTCCCATCCTGACAGGAGAGAGATTCACACATCCATCCTCCAACACAGAACAGACAGCCTTGGAATTCTCATTCATTTAACAAGAATAAACAGAGTGCCCGTTTAGGGCCAAGTGCTCTGCTGGCCTCCAGGGACACCAGAATGGACCACAGGGACACAGTTCCTGTCCTCGGGGAACTTACATTCTGAAAACTATTTTATTTTCATAAATGGGAAATCGTTGTGGAATAACTCCATCATCACCTTTCTCTTATTTTTCCACCAGGAAAATATA